GTACGGTAGCTCGGAAAACTCATTCTGATCGTTCTGATAAGAAAACAACTCCCGAATTTGTTGGTGACGGCCTCAGATTCAACATGGAGGCCTACATCAAGTGCCTTGAGGAAGTAGTCCTTCCTTGGATGAAGAGGGTGGCTGCTGGAATACCCTATGTCTGGCAACAGAACTCTGCACAATGCTAGACAAGCAGGAGATCCCATTCATGACTGTCTGGCAATTTTTCCAACCACATCAGTCCTTACATCTGGCCACCTCACTTCGTAGACTGCGGCCCCTTGATTATTATGAGTGAGCAGTTGTGTGAGAGACCAACAAAACTCCTTGTAACACCAAAGATGAACTGAAGGCAAGGATTATGGCAGCATTCATCAACTTCAACAAGGAGACCATCAAGAAGAGTTGTAGAAGATTCCGAAGTCGTCTGGAGGACATGGTTGAAGCCAATGGCGATTTTATTGAATGAATTTACTCTTTAGTATTTCAAGATGTTTTTGCGTAATTTTGGTATAAATATATCTGTTAAAATGAGATGACAGTGCTATTTTCCTTTTTATGTCATTTAGGCGATAATTTATTCATCGTTTCCTATAAAAAGTGTTAAAGCGTCTATTGGTTAGAAAACCGGAGAGCAGTGATTTGACACTCTCCAGTCCGTTCGGATGCACTTTTTACTTTTTTTCGACGTGCTGAAGGAAACATGTCGGCGATTTCAAGCGAATAATTTACAACAATAGAACGGCTGGACAACAAAGATGGTCAGTGAATCTTCGCTAACGATCAAGGTTTTTCTTTTCTCAACTCCAGCTGCTTTTTAATTTTGAAATAAACTATTTAAAATTCTTATCTAAACTTCAGCTCTTTCTATCAATTCAAAGACTTTAACTCAGCTAAAGACTATTTTTAATACTTTATAACTCGTTTTAATTCATGTACATATGTCTGTAAATAGAAATGATTTATTTAACATACATACCAATATTTTCTTTATTTTAATTTTATTATTGTCTGGAATTCAGTCATTCGGATTTTTTAATAAGAAAACCTGGACGACTGAAATTTCCTACAAATTTAAACAACTTCAATATTTGTTTCAATCTTTAAATTCCCACTTTCGAACACAAGTCATCCACATACGGCGGGGGTCGCAGGAGGAATAATAAAACATTTGTGTGATGTCCAATTTATTCAATAGTCCATAAATTTACAAAATACTAATATAGACACAGCGGCGTACATAACGCTTGTGTCGCCAGGGGCGGTTGTTGAATTTGTTGCTCCTCGAAACAACATTTCAAAACTAGACATCTACAAAATATAAATAAAGATTACAATTACGGCTATTCATTTTGTTTTGATGGCACACACACACACACACACACATACCACCCTATCCCACCCATCACCACACCCAGAGAGAAAAAAAAACGAAGAAACAACTAAAGCAAAAATAAAATAAGGACGATGGAGAAAATATATTTAAAAATTGGGAAAAAAGGCATTTTTAGTAAATAAACATTTTTAGGATAAATGTTATTACATTTACCAATATAAAACTTCTTCTTCGACGTGCCGTGTCCATTCGGGACTTTGGCAATCGTGACTCTCCACAATTTCCTGTCTTTTGTATCGCTTAATAAATCTTATTTTTTTGTTATCTCTCTTAAACCCTGTTTTTTTTTCCCCATCCATTTACACAAGCTCACTAGGTAGGTTATGTATTGTTTTCCTCTGTCCCTCTTGCCTTCAATCTCCTAAACCTTGTTCCGCCATCCATTTACTCAATCTCTCTAGGTAGGTTATGTATTGTTTTCCTCTGTCCCTCTTGCCTTCAATCTACACTGTAAGCATCAAATTTTCCAAGCCCTCCTTCGTAATTATGCACCTTAGAAATTTCAGCTATGTCTCTGATATTAAGTATAAGTGTCCATTTTGTTTCCATTTTCTTTAAAACTTCGCTGTTGCTAACTTGTTCGATCCATAGCATAATCAGCATCCTCCTGTAGAACCAGATTTCTGTTGCCTCGTCTTTTCTTTATCTGGAAAGGATTGTCCGGCATCCACTGACATATAGGAGGACTGATGTTCCGTAAAAGTTCAATTCTCTTTTCGTTGTTTCTCACGAAATTGTATGATTAAAATAACCTAACAATAACTGACTCAAAGTGTGACTTTTAAATTAAATGACCAATGTAGACTTCTTCTATGAGCCGTGTCCCAGAGAGCACGGGCAATCATGGTTCTTCCCAATTTCATGTTCTTTCTAGCTTTTAGCAGAATTTGTCTTTTTGTAACCTCTCCTAAACCCTGTTCTGTCCGCCATTTAAATAAGCTCGTTGGATTGGTTATTCAGTGGTTCTTTCTGTCCCTCTTCCCAGATTATTTAAATTTTTGTACTTGTTTGATTTTTGATGTCTTCAATTCCTAGTTCGCATCTTAAACTCTTCCTTTTGCTGACATCCATACATTCTATCTTCTTACAATTGATGTTTAATTCTTCCATCTTGTTCTCCTTTACGACCTTCTGTAGGAGTTCTTGTCCGTATCTACTATCAACGTTGTGTCATCTGACTATCTCATGTTATTAAGATTGGTATTAGTTCGGTGTTTGTATGGCTAGCTGCTTAGCATTTTATACTGCGTCGAGTCACTCTTTGGAAATGTAGTAACAAATAAAGCAGAAAGAACTAAGCAATTTTAAACAGGTTCTGTAGCTTTTAAAAAAACAGAGTAGGCTATAAAATCTACAATAAGCAGTTTACGGATTCACTGGGATTTTACGGTTGGTGTTAAAAAGTGATATTAATTCGATCTAAATTTTCAAGAACAATATTCTCGTGTTAGAAATCCGGAAGAAAGGGGAAGTGACAGTCGCATGATGCGTATTACACACAAAAAGAATCCTGTAATTGGAGCAAACAACAGAGAATAACCAGAAGGATCGTCTGCTTGATATTTCTTCGGTGAGGTTTTACCTTGATGTGTCTCTATAGATTCTGAGTGGCTCTCAGATATGTATTGATCCTAAATATTTAAAAAAAAAAATATTTTTCATGGAACTTCCAGTGTTTCATAAATGATTAGGATCACTGTAAGTATTCTATGAATTATTCAAAGTATCATCTTCATCTTTAACTAAAAGTCATATCTTATCTTAATGTTAAAACTTTGCCGATCGGAGAAGCGGGACAACACTAACTACGTTTAATTTAGAGTCCTAGCGTTTTATTTCCGATCTTGAACATGCCGCCATCTTACGGTAGCCTAAGCTAATTTTCCGTTGCACGTGTCGTTAGCATTTAGAGGAATAACTGTAAGATATATTGGAGCATGAGTGACCCTCATACATGATTTATTTTACCCAGAGTCAGGTTAGATATGAAAGAAAATATTGCATAATATTGCTGCCGTATACGGACTGGAGCTGTTCAATCATCACTTTGCAACCTTGAGAGAAAATTAAAAATGATTTACGCTGTCTCTTAGGGAGAGAACTGTACTTCACTCTGCGACCCCCCCCCCCCAGAGACGCAATGTTGGAAGCCTATCTATTGTAGGTTCCTTGGCAAATGTTCAGATGAACTCCATTCTTTAGACGCACCAGTTCATACTTTTACAGTTGGAACACTCCATGCCACTTCAACGGTGTCGTATCACTCTTATTTCCCCAGTATTCCAAATGAAAGGAGAAAGTTCCACCTGGAAATTTTTTTTTCTCTCAAGAACTTCCACTTTATGGAACAGACTCTCTTATGGATGCCTGCTTGAATGCTACAATCTTAACCTCGTCATGAGTTGATCGTTATCCATCGTCCTCATAATATTCATTTCCTACCACCTCCTCTTTCATTCCTATCAAACATCATAATCATTTTAATAGTAACTCTCTACCTTGAATGGCTCTCGAGCTTTGTAGTGAATTAATTTTTGGTATTTAAGAAAAGCACGGAAATATCTTAGCAAGCTGAGAAGTGCTTGTGGAACTTAGCTGACTTCGTCTGCCAGGGGACTTCTCTTAACACATGCTAGGTGGCGTCGTATAAAGCAGTATTCAAACCTTCTTTCTCTCTTTTTAATTATTTTCAACCCCGGTATGCCATAATGACAAGACGTCTTTCGTTTCTTCTCTGGGAGTTTTGAACCGAATTTTTAGTCACACACGCACACACACACACACACACACACACTACTACTACCACTACTACTACTACAGCTAATCACATAAACATATGTGTGAGTGTGTCTACTTTTCTCAGATATGTTGTTTTGTATATAAATCTATAAAAACCTATGTATATGATGATTTCACTTTTTTTTGAAAATCATAAGAAATTCAACCGAATGTCGTTACAATTGTTAATACTTTTTCGCAACAAGTACTGACCGCGACATGATTCGAACTCGCAATTTAGTCTTGTAATCTATTCAGTGAAAACTTAATTACTCTATTGCTATTTTATTTATATTTTATTTCATGCAGTTCTGGGCCAGAGCATATAAAGAAGTACGAAAGTGATAGCATTTTCTTTAAGAAGCTAACAAAATAAATTCTTAATTATTCATCATGTGCAAGGAAAGCTTTGCATTAACCAAAGTGAAAATAGCGTAAAAAAGCTTTCCAAATTGTAACATGATTAACATAGCATTTTCTCCTATTAAAAAATATTTAAAATCCTTAAGAAGAGGTTGAACCGTAGACCTGATGGATAAAAGCCTAATACTCTAACCGCTAAGCATCTGCATGGCGTCGACAGGGTATAATACTTCCTATTTACTATTCAGTATTACCAGCTTTAACGGGGAGATCTGGCTGTCATCTCTGCTTCAAAGGTGTTTTATGGGATTTACAGTTCCAAACTAATTTTAGAAGCTTGACTATTGATGTGACGTAGAGATTGGAATAAAGATTAAGGCAGAGATAACAATGTCAATGGTTGAGAAGAAGGGAAGCAACATCTATGACAACAAAGACGGCCAGTTTTGCGATTAGCACCTTTTTAAGTGTAAGAAGGAAGGAAATAAAAATAAAGGAACCGGCTAGACAAAGAAAAGAAAGGGCCTGAAGAATTTAGCTGAATAATGAGGAAAACTGTGAATTCGGAACGCAGAGATGGCATAGACAGATAGATAAATAGATAGATAAGTACATACATAGATAGATAAAAAGAAAAGAACATAAATGGCTGGATAGATAAGTCATAGATAGATAGATAGATAGATAGATAGATAGATAGATACCTCTTTTGGGGAAACTCCTAGAGAATCTAATTAATGCTGAATTGGTACATTATCTCTCATCGCTGGGCCTTTTCTCAGACAAGCAATATGGTTTTTGCCTCTCTAGATAAACTGCTGATGTACTAATGATAATTGGGGAAATAGTCTGTCATACTTTCGATAAAAACGGTGTAGTCCGAGCCATAGCATTGGGCATCTCAAAACCATTGACAGGGTCACTTCTCGACAAGCTGAAAGGTTATGGTGTCTTCGAACACAATTTTGAGCTGATCTAGTCTTTCCCATCAAATCGAGGAAATAAAGTTACCCTGAACGGTTACTCGTCTACATCCTTTCGTATTAACGCGGGTGTTCCCCATGGCTCCATCCTTGACCCTACGCTGTTTTTAATCTTCATTAACGACATTCTCAATGACATCAGGATGATATCTCTGCTGACGATAAAGTTTACTCCTGCCTCGATACTAAGGCTGATCAGTCAAAGATGGTCAAAATGGCAGCCGATGTAAAAAACGACTTGAAAACCTTCCTTAACTGGAGCAAAAGATGATTTGCCAATTTTAAGACCTCCAAAACTAAACATCCCATACATTAATCTTCTGAGAGACTCATCACTGGTTTCCCTCAGCATGGCTGATGCTATCCACCAGGAAAGTGACTCATTGCACCTTCTCGGACTAATGTTCTCAGCTGACATCAGGTGAAAAGACTACATTGAATCCGTCACTAGATCAACTGCTAAGAAAGTCGGTTCACTGTGTCGGGAGAGACAATTTTTCTCCCTGGAATCTATCTTGCATATCTATAAGTTTACCATTCGTCCATGCTTAGAATATTGCTGCCATATATGGTCCAATGTCACTGCTATTTACCTGGAACTCCTTGATACGATCCAAAGAAGAATCAACAATATTATTGGTCCTGATTTGGCAGTTCAGCTTCAGTCACTTGCTCACCGATGTAAGGTTTCCTCTCTGTGCCTTTTATTTTTATAAATACCTTCATGGTAATTGTTCAGGCGAGCTCTTCACTGTGGTACCTAGACTGTATGAATTTAAGCCCAATAGTAGACAGATATCGAGATCTCATCAATTTACAGTTGAACTATATATATGACAGTAAGCTCATTTCGCTGATTTAATGGAACACTATTTTTTAGAAACATAATAATGTATAACTTTTCCTGAAGACACAGGGGGCATGGGTAATCTAAGGACTTAAATATTTTTTTTTTTTTTTTTTAAATATTTCCCTTTTTACTGGGGGTGGGTATTAATTACTTTTAAATACCAATGAGCTGTGAAACGGAGAAACTGTCTGTCTGTGGATGACAATATATACAGGCTCCTGAAAAAATTATTTCGGTTGAGCTCTTCGGGGAGAAAAGTGAATTTGTAAACAGTGACTATTACTGCTATTGATGCAAGACTCTTCGTTAAGACGAATCGAGTTCTCCACTCAGTGGCATGTTTGTCTAAAAATAAACACGTCTGAATTCACCTTTATCCCTAGTTAATGGCTTAGGGATAAAATCTGATTTGGTATCAGTCGTGTTTCGATCCCGGCTTGAGGCAATCGGAAGTCTAATCACACTGATGAGCTGTGAAAAAGCGAAACTTTTCTGTGGATGACAATATATATATATAGATAGATAGATAAGAACAAAAATAGATAAGACCAGAGAGAGAGAGAGAGATACACAGATACATGTGAATAAACTGAGATAAACAGACAGATACATAGAGCAAACTCAGTCAGATAGATAGATAGATAGATAGATGTGAGCATACTCAGCCAACAATGATAGAGATAGATAAATCGGTAAGTACAATGATATAATGTATACTGATATGTACAAAGATAGATAGCTAGATCAGAATAGACATAGATAGATCTATAGGCAGATATGTGCAAAGATATATAGATAAACAGATAAGTAGAAATATAGATAGATACATGAAAATAGATGAAGATAGATAGATAGATAGATAGATAGATAGATAGATGTGAGCTAGCACAGCCAGATACATAGATAGATAAGAACATAGACAGGTAGATTAATGAGAACAATGATAGAGATAAATAGACAGATAGATAAAGTACAGGGATAGATAAGTATATAGATAGGTGAATGATAACAATGATATAGATAGATAAATGCGATTATATAAAGATAGACTGATATGTAAGCAAATATGTGGATATAGATCCGACAGTGTGAAGAAAAATATACAGAAAAAACAAACAAAAATCTTAATATGCAATTATGCTGTATTAATGTTAATATAATGTCAACGTCGGACGTTTCGGTCTATTTTAGACCATCATCAGGACATATTCATAAAACATAATTAACATTAGAACATATACAAATTCAACATGAAAAAGACGATGGACATAAGAGCACGACTAATCCAAACAGATAACTGAAATTTTTATAAGATCAGCGTTCCGTTTAAATATGATCACGTCGTCGTCACGTGGGCGATGCTGTGAAAACGTATTCGAAGATGATTTCAAAATATTAAATAAGCTCGATTGAACTATTTTCTCATATAAACAGTTCGTTAAGAAAACCTTTCCATTCTTATAGGAATACGCAGAGATCAATAGGTTCTTATATTTTCATACAAGCTTGATATGTACAAAGATAGATACATAGATATGAATAGACAAGGACTGAGAGATAATTACAAAGAGAATACTATAATGAAAGCGACAAAGAAATAAAAAAAGAAAGAAGAAGAAAGATGTATGTCTGCATGGACTGAATAACAGCATTTTCTGTTGAATAGACAAAAGGAAAACTCAGATGAGACGAAGAGGAGAAAAATCATGAAAAATGAAAGGCTCGCAAAATGACTGAATTTAAAAAAGGAAGTATTAAGCTAAACAAAATCGGATTTAGGAAGCAGCGTCAGAGAACAGCATAAAATATGACCGTTCGTTGTTAAGTCGAAGTTTTAACTTTACTTGATAGACAAATAATGAACGATATCGAACTATTTGTCAACTTTTGTTCGTGATAGGGTGATTATCATCTTTGGATTGTGATTGAAAGATTTAAAGCCTATTTCTCCGGGAATCGAGTTTTTTCCTCATCATTATTCAAGGAAATTCCCTTTTCGCCTTCTGTTGATTATTTATTTTTATTTTGACTTTGATTCGCATTTTCAGTGTATTTTACTGTGCATTTTTCAAGCAACATTCGTTAATCTTGTCAATTGCTTCCTTATTATACTCGGTGTCAAGGACAAACAGAAAGCTTCTAAAGTTTACATCATAAACTTTAAGTTAACACTATGATAAAAACTCGTCTGCATTTTATTGCTTCTTCGTGCCATTAATTAGACTTTACATGCGTTTTATGCAGGAAGCCTGAAAGGATACCTAAAAATGCTGTTTTACTCAATTTTTTAGAAGTAGCTTGGAATGAGAAATTTTCAGCGTCCACCTTGTACAATATTGATACGATTCATATGTATCATGAAAAGATGCTATACTTTCAGAAATATATATATATATATATATATATATATATGAACAATGGAGCATTCTTTCTCTTTCAAAGAAACATTTTCGTCCAGCACTTCAGAAAGATTTACTGGAAAAGTCTCAAACATACAAAAAATATATTCGTAAACGGCGAAATTGAAAAGGTGCAGGCCTGGGGGTGGGGTGGGGGAGTATTGCAAATGAATTTATTTTAGTCGTGATTTCTTATTTACCACCCGAAGCACTTTTTCACTTTCGTCGTTTATAATTTTTTTGGTATGTCTGTTTTTTTTGTTTTTTTTTTCCAACGAACCTTTCTGAAAAAAGGGTTATACGAAAAAGGTTCTTTTAAATCAAAAGAAAGTGGTCCATCATTTATATATATATATATATATATATATATATATATACACAGAGAGACTGTTTCACAGCTCATCAGTGTGTCTAGACATCTGACTGCTTTAAGTCGGGATTGAAACTCGACCGATTTAACATCAGTCAGAGACTCTTAGTCCTAGGATATCGGCACATGGCAAAGAAAGGGAATTATTTTAATGTATTATAAACGTGATATATAAACGTCATACCCGTCGCCATAGCGCTCAATTCTAATGAAGAGAGATGCATCCACAGATAGACTTTTTCGCTGTATCGCAGTTCATCAGTGTGGCTATATTATAGTTATATTATGCTTTAATGCATCGCTCTTCGTAAGGATTGAACACTATGCTGACCGGTATGACGTTTATATATCACGTATGTAATGCGTGAAAAAATCCTTTTCCCTGCTGTTCGCCGATATCCTAGGGGTAAGAGTCTCTGACTGATGTATATATTGTATAGTACGTCTCCAACGGAGACGTGCTATATATATATATATATATATATATATATATATATATATATGTGTGTGTGTGTGTGTGTGTGTGTGTGTGTGTGTGTGAGACGTGCTATGCAAAATATATATATTTGGAGACATGATATACAAAAACACAATCGACGAAATGCTTTCAGATTTTGTCTGAGTCTGTTCATGTTCAGGTTTATACCTTTTTGAAGGCATAAAACAATTTCATCCTGCGTTCTGTACGAATGACAAATTTCTGGAAAAATATTACGTTACTTGCATGACACGATGGCTAACAAGAAAGTGAGTAGGTAAGAAAAACATTTGGGTTATTCACTCTTCCATAATTGCTCATCCATGCAGCAGCAACAGCAAGAACGAAAACGCTTCTATAGTCACGGTCTATGCATTTCCTAAATTTAACCGTTTTCTTTCTTACATATCCTCATAAACTGCACTTCGTACCCCTTACTCTTACCGCTCGTATAACAACCTCATCCAGAAACCTTCTACCTTGAGTGACTCTTGGACAATGTATTGAGTGACCATTAGTAAATTTTATATCCAGTTGATCCCGTCTACTTTGAAATTCAGCAATTAAAGTCTTGGTTTTTACGAAACTGCACACTATAGTAGGTTCAGTTGTACACCATCTCTGAACATCTAAAGAGCACCATGACGCAATTCACTCTGCCAGAAATTTGGAAACGGCTTGCTGTACTTCTTGGCATTCGCACTGGACATTTCAGAGTACTTGGGTGTCAATCTGAAGACAGTGAAGAGGATTCGGAAAGAGTTAGATGAGTTTAATAGTCATTACGAAGGATTACGGATACTGTTTGAAGTGATCACGAATGATGGCGACATTATGCCTCCATTAATCACTGTTGATGCTAACAGAAACTATGCAACAAATTCATCCACCAAGCCGATTGCAACAAATATGAGGGTGTATTTCACCAACCAAAGCTGAAGCAGAATTGAATGGCGTTTAGAATTAATTTATTATTTCCTTTATCCGTTACTGTGTCGTTTATATTGCATTTCAGAATTTAATTGGGAAAACTTGCAAGGGTAGATTTCGGTTTCTTCATGGGCTTTTGCTTAAGAACCGAACACAACACAATTGAAGCAGCTTTTTAACCGAGAATGCCAACCTTTCATTCTTACATTGCAGTGATACAGGTTTTAAAAAATGAGTTTTGCATGTCAACTGTACAGGAATAAATTGTAATCTAAATAACGTAACAATGAAAATAACACTTACATCTCATTTTAACAGATATATTTACTAAAGTTACATAAAAATAACTTGAAATACTACAGATTAAATTCATTCAATAAAATTGCCATTGGCTTCAACTCCGGTCTCCAGACGACTTCGCAATCTTGTACAACTCTTCTGGACGGTCTACTTGGTTAAGTTAGTGAATGCTGCCATAATTCTTACCTTCAGTCCATCTTTGGTGCTACAAAGAATTTTGTTGGCCTTTCGCTCAACTGTGTCCCACAAAATAATCATGGGGGTTGCAGTCTGGGGAGTTAGGTGGTCCAGATATAAGGGCTGATGCGGTCGTAGAAATTGTCTGACAGCTTTCTACTGGGTTCTCCTACTTGTGTAGCATGGTGCAGAATCCTGTTTTCAAATATAGTGTCTTCCAGAAGCCGTCCTCTTGATCCAGGGCAGTACTATCTCCTCAAGACACGATGTAGGACTCCGGGTTGAGTCTGAGGCCCTCTGGGAAGATGAATGAAGGCATAGCGTCTCCATCACAAGTGATCATTTCAAATAGGATCCTTAATCCTTCGTAATGACCAATAAACTCATCCATCTCTTTCCGAATCCTCTTCACTGTCCTGAAATTGACACCCAAGTACTCTGAAATGTCCGTATTGGAGTTTCCGGTGCGAATGCCAAGCAGTACAGCATGCCGACTTCATTTCTAGCGGACTGAATTGCGTCATTGTGCTCCTTTTCTCAGAGACGGTGCACAACTGACCCTACTATGCTGTGCAGTCGATAAAAAAAAACAAACAACGCGTCTGTGTGAAATTAAAAAATAAAATGGCGACAATTTCCCCATCGAACCTGCACACGAAAAATACATTGGCTATTGCAAAATGAGAAACCAGTACCTGCATCAAAACCAGGCCTCCAACCATAGAAACCCTTACTTTGTGTTTGGCGGAATATGAAAAGTGTCATCTATAACGAACTACTGGGGCCTAAAAGGTGCATCAATGAAGATATTTATTACCAGCAACTTAATCAAGTAAACGAAGCATTACATTGAAAACACCCTGTTCTTGTGCGCAGTAAAAAAAAGTACAGTAATTCAACGGGACATTGTGCCAAACAAACCCAAGAGAATATATATGATCATTAGGATCCTCCATATCCTTCATACTCACCAGATTTACCAGCCACAAATTCTCATTTTATAAGAGGCAGAACATTCAGAAACAAAGAAAAAGTTAAAAAAAAAAACATACCCTAGATTTCTCTTAAAGAGGAATCGAAAATGTATCTTCCCGTTGGGATGAGGTCGTTGAAAATGAAGGCGGTTTCATTTCATTAATAGATAATGTCTTTATATCCTTTCTGATAAAACGTATTAACTTTCCGAACATCCTTATATTTATATGCACCAAGATCAAGTTCTTCATTGGCCTAATGCCACAAGCGTCCTAGGCTCTTAGGAAG